CCCTGTCCAATAACTAGTACTGTATAAAATCCCTGTTTTGAGGATAATTCAATATAATATTGATGTCACAAGTGAAGAGGCACAAGGCACCACAATGTCAAGGGGCTGTTCTGTGCTAGTATGGATTTATTTCAATATTTTAAAAAGAAATAAATACATTTTAGATCTGTATTTTATAAACCTGACCAAAGTAGAAAGTTGGGGTGACTCCTGGTGGCAGATATGGTATTGAAAGGCATGTGATTTTAACAGGAAGATTACAGAAGAGGTCCGAGACAGAGATAAAGAATAAATCATCTCCTTTCATTACTTTCCATCATCCAGAGCTGTAACCATTCAAAAAGAGAAAAGCAGACTATCCTAATGATGGAACCAAACCCGTATGCCAGGTTCAGATCCAAGACTCTAATGCAAACACTCCCCCATGCACCTAAATTTAGATTTTATATTATGTATGTGAAAGTAATTTTTGAGTAACTAGGAAAGTCCAGCATTTTTTGCTTCAGAGTTGGGAACTAACCTAAATCTCAGGCAAGCACAAACTTAGTTTAAACAAGACACTATTCACATCAGGACATTACAAAATACTTCTGAGAGTAATCAGATGATTACTGCATCAGATACCTTTGAAATCATGTTAGAGAGCGCAGAATGTTAAGAGTAAATATTATGAACTGTAGGTACTGAAAACAAGAAACAGTTTACTTTTTGGTTATTTTTCCCCCCAAAAGCTTTCAGATGAAGAAAGAAAGTGGAGTGGTATTAAAATATTTCAAGCAAGATTTTGCTTCCTAATTTACCCCACACATGTAACTGGCTCTTATTCTTATTTTCTTTACAGGTGTACAGAGTTCAACAGCTTCACCTGATAACCTTCAGTTGGCTTCATTTATTCCTGAGTGTGCTGTCCTCTCCTTCCAGTTTCCCCCAAACTGTAGAATTTTTGCATGCTTGTAACTGCTTTTATTGATTACCCAGCTCAAGCAATTTCTCTAATGTATTGCAAGAAGAAAAAACAAGTGCAGGCCTAAGATGTACCTTTATAGAGTAAACAGTATAGTACAAAGACCCAATACTGCCTCACTTGAAATCAAGGGAAAACTATCCCAATTTCAGATTTGTGTTACTACATTTCAAAAGCTTCCATATGACTGAAAGACTGTGCAATAAACTTTAAAAAAAAAAAAACCAACCCCCCCACTTCCCCTACCCTCCCTTGCCCAAAGTTCATTGCACATCCATTAGACTACTTCAAAAACCACATACTTGGAAATGCAATTGCCATGAGTACAAACATTCAGTGCTTTTTAAAACCTTCTAACAATGTTTTCGTAAACAGTGTATTGTCCTGGGTGGTGGGATCAGGGCTCCACTGCCTGTCCTGCAAACACACAATGCCTCCAGTTAGCTGGAAATATTAGGGGTCCAGCTAATTAATCATTAAAAAAAGAATTTATGGATTATAGATACAGTAACAAGTAACTGGTCATCCTAAGTCATCCTTTCCGGGATATGAGCTGGCAAATGGGACTACCTGACTGCTTCCACTCACTAGCTTGCAAAATTCTGTATAGATTTTAGGAAATCTGTGTGTTCAGAAGGGAAAAATCAAAACACTATTTCTTTTGCAGACAGCAGATTGGGAGATCAGGGAAAGTGTTTCCTCTCCTCCCACTGAAGAATATGAGGTTTTTCCTAAGGGGAATATCATAGACACTGTGTCCAACAGGATTTTTTGTTTTATTGGGGGGTTGCTCTAGGAAGGAAATACTACATTAAGGCTTGCAAGACCATTGGATATTATTATTTACGTAGCCAAGGAAAGCGACAACTGAACAACAGTAACTAATAAAACAAACAATTTGGCAGCTTGACAAAAAAATCTAGCTGCCCTACATATGTATCTATGAGATTCCCAACTGCCTACCTCAAACTCTAACAGACTTTCTGAACCAGCTTTCTATCAAATGCAAATGGCTCCAACCCATTACTTAAAGTGACCAGGATTATTAGAAATTGGCTTTAAGACATGAGAACAGAGAAACATTCTGCTTCTTTATGGACCATTGAATGTATCCAAGGTTTCTGGGACTTCACATTTATGAGCAGGGCTTCTGGTCCTGCATCCTATATTGAGCACAGGCAGCCTAAGTGCATCTCACAGTCTATTTTACACGTGCATTTGGTGTCCACAGCCAAGTCAGAAAGCAGTGATGCTACATGTTGGTATACATGGGTGTGTGGTGTAGATTTTGTGTATGTTTGGGTACATTTTTACTTCCATTAGGAAACTTGCCCATAGCCAGAAGTCAGTGCAGAGTTCTTAAGACAAGTTACTGTGAGCAGAAGCAAAATGGCAGCAGACCTACATTCAGCACTTGCTCACCTGCACCCATGACAATATGCCTTAAGAGAAATTCAGCAATAAGAAGTTTTCTTTGTGTGGATGGATCTATGCTAGCCAGACAGAGGATGAGGGCAGGCCTGGGGACAGAGGCTTCTCTGATTCTTGTCCATAACATCCCAGGGGCGGGGCTGACCCAGCACTCAGGCAGACCACATGAGCTCTGGCCAAGGCTAGAGTGCCACCCTGGACCTGGAGAGGGGGGGAGCAGGTGCCACAAAGCCCCATGGATTGTTGGTGAAATGCAACCTACCACGAGTCAGGATGGGATGTAGTACAGATGTTCATTACAGTGCTCTAACCTCCAGAACTGAAGTCTGAAGGTCATCTTTGAGGAGGATCCACCATTTTTACAGTGCTCTATATGCCCTGACTGTTCATTTATAGCTGTAGAGAGCTTTCTGTGTGCTTACTGGCATAAATGTAACTTTTGTACCTGGCCAAAATTATAACATTGCCCCAGAACAGCATATTTGACTAATTATTCAACAGAGGAAATGATGATGCTGTAAGTGGCTGTAAATGGCTGCATCTACAGAAACACTCATCTATATTATCATAATTGAACTTACATGTAAATGTGGCAAGTGGAAAAGCAACAGTGAACATTGCTTTCATAAGCAAGGTGTACAAGGTGTTCCATCATCTCTCTTATTTGCTTTTTTGTTTTGCTTTACTGGGGAAGTCTGAATGTCTTACTAAAGTAATTATGAAGGACACATGTGAAGTAATGGTAAAATTAGACTCTCCCAGCTGGCACTTTAAGTCTGAGCTCTGTCAGAACCAAGGCTAACACAGTGCAATATTCATAGTAAGATATCTGCCTCATATGCACAGTCTGAACCATTCATAGGGAAGCAGTATGATAGCCAGATTAAGACTTGTAACACTTTGAAGGGACCAAAAAAAAAAGCAAAACCTAAAACAAAACAAAACAGTGAGAGTTTGCTTTGTTTAATACCGGTATCTTTTAGGACTGTATGTTCTACTTTCTCCACTAAACAGCCTGGAAGGAGATCAATGACCCTTAAAGCTGTATGATCCTGGTAACAACTTTTCTGGGAGACAATCAGCTACAGAGAGAAAGAGCCACAGGACAAGATTACCAAAAAACAGGGAGAACTACTATGTAAAGAACTGGCCAAGTTCTGCCAGTCATATGCTCTATCAGGCACCATAGATGTTTGCCAGCATAGCAGTTTGCAACTCTGTGTGCTGCTATTGGTCCACTTCCCACTGACTAGCAGTACATTACCAGGGACTGCTGAACATTGAAGGCAACCATGATGAACTAATTTACCAGTCCCCTCATTCTCATGAGATTTACTTTCACTGCACCTTAAACATCTACAGAAGCTGAACATGACATTTTAGATATTTGTGAATTTCTGATATTGGTGATTGAATATATAAAAATACACATTCAGCAACCTTATTTTGGTATGAGATATTCAGTAAAGTACTGGTGTTTTAGACAGTTTAATTTGACTTGGAATCTGCTGGGTCAGCAGGAGAAACCAATTACACAGCTGAGGTAGTCACTAGACAATTAAATCTAGGGATTGCTGGCTTGGCTGTCCCAGCTAATCTCAACAGCTTCAGTTGTACACAAAAAGAAAAGTAAATAGGCTTTCTATCTGTAAAATCAACCTAGCAGTAAAGAAAGCAGTGCAGACCCTAAGGAACTGTGGGCTGTGCACCTTTGATCCAAACAACTAACCAGTTGGACATTTGCATTCTGCACTAGTGGGAACTCTGCAGTGATCTTCAAAGGTAGAGTTTTTATCTAGAAGTCATAAAAGGATGAATAACAAAGTGTTAGCTCAATACCCGTCCTTATCTTTAAATATAAGGAATATATTTCAGGAATATAACATTGTAATATTCAAGTCTTCATATTGATTTCACTTAACCTATTTTAATATGTTTTAATGTTTGTTGTAGTTAGGATTTTAATAAAACTGACCTGAGCTTCACCACTTTATGAAAGGTGTTATTATGAAGTAGCTGCCAAACATAGCAATGGATTGTACTTGATGGCCCAGGAGACTCACTTAGTCCTATGCCCTTTAACTAGGGGCATATACAAGCATTCAGAAGATGTGAGAAACTTCTATTGATTTTGTTCTCCCAATGGAGAAACCTATCATGGGAGGGATAACTTTACAAATTTTACAGGGCCAGATGGGTGCTCCACAGACAGCCAGGGGGCCCATGCATACATGGGTGGATCTAGAATTTTGAAAAGGGGAGTGCATCAGCACATACGAAGCAACACATTTTTCTCCAGTTAAAAATAAACTAGAAGCTTTACCAACATGGTAGGGGCCTAGGGCTGTATTATTCATTTTAAGATTAAAGCAGGGGATCAATGACAGCCACTTCCATGTAGTGATCCCTGGTAACATCTCTGACAGCCAGGAGCTCCCAAATTGACAAAAATGCCATAGTGCACAAAGATAAAGATATGGACACTGTTTTTTTCATACAAAAGAAAAAAGATTAAAGCAAAAACAAATATAATTGTATTGAAATGATCAGGGCTGTGAAATAGAAGCTTCATTACCAGAAGTAGCTAAGAAACAGCACATTAAAAGAAGAGCCTTTAACATCTGTAGAACAAAGAATTTAGAAGTGATCAGATACATTAGATAGATTATAATAAGCCATGAAGTCAACTGAACACATCACCACTGCCTGACTAGAACAGCTGCTGCTACTACTGGGCAGATGGTTTTAAACACTGGGTGAAGCAGGAATGAAAGAGGAAGGATGATGCAAGTGTACCCCCCTGGATCTGTCCTTGCATGTGTTTGTATCCCAGCATGCTTTGCAGTCTCTCCTGGTTGCCAGAAATGGATGACAGCAGTACTGATTGACTGACTACTCCAAGAGACAATGTCCCCCGTGGATCTCCAGCATACAGCACCCCCTCCATCTCTCTTGTCTGTCAAGCTTTGGGACCAGGAGATCCAGAGTATATCTAGTGTCTTTCAAGACTGTCAATTCTTTAGCAGCCCATAATGGATCCCCCATCCTCTGGCACCAGCCAACAGACCCAGTTTCAACTTAGCTTGAATGAGTCTTGTTAAGATGAGGTGTTGCCAGGTTGGGTGCTGGTGGGTTGGATTCAAGTGCTGATGGATTAGATATTGCCAGGTATAATTAGCTGTGCCATTCACTGGTGCATCTGGTCCATATGGGTATTTTGGACGTCACCATTGCTTGAGGAAAAGACAGCCTGCTATTGAGTCAGATTCCAGAGGGTTCTCAGGGGTTCTTCCTTGCCATGTCTTTGCTCTAATAAATTTATTTAGTTGGGAGGAAGATGTATGTTCTGTTAGACCCCGACTCCATGCGGCGCCCAACAACTAGGGAAACAACAGTCCAAATACCCATGGATCCTGTTCCTCATTAGCCAGAGCACAGCAGGGAGCAAACACTAGCACACATTGCTTGCAACAGCTTTACTCAGAATGGAGACAGCTTCAGATTAGTTCCCACACCGATGGAATATGGGGAGCTGCAATGAACAATAGTTTCTTCTCATATTTATACACTTCGGTTTATACTCATTAACATTTACTCTACTTCCATCCTGCCTTCTGTTCCACCCATTTCTATTCCCATCTCAAGCTCCTTTTCTATTTACTGGTTGCTTCATTAGCATGGAATTGCCTATGCATTTCATACATTTACATGCCTTTTTGCTATGAACGCATGTCTAAGACCTTGACTTTTCTTCTTCAGTCAATGGGCAGACTTTGACTAAAACTTGAAAGCTTCTGAAGGCTTCTTCACCAATCACCATTCACCTTTTTGCATATGTTCATCTTAGATTCTGTTACCAATTACGTGTTGTTTTTCACATTCCAGTCTGTTTTTCCGTCTTAGGTTGTGCCATCTTCCACCTTTTTTTGGGCCCCTTTATCTTATCTTGTTCCTCACTGTAGCTGGTTCAGGGCACACAGACTTACACAGATTCACTTGCTGCTTTTCCCTTAGAAAATGGTTGACACTTAAAATGGTTACTTAGCATAAGCTAATGGCTGGCATAGA